AGACCGTATAAATTATGTATAAAATACAAATTCAGCCGACCAGTTGAAGAAAGTAATAAAAAATTCTCTGAGAAATTCTCTCTTATTATTCTGGCATTTAGCAAATAAAAATAATTTTGGTAATCCCAACTGACCGAACACAGGAAAAGTTTAGTCTGATTTAATGTCAGACAGTGAGAAAAGCAAGGTTGTATATCTCTTTATACAGCGTATGTAAACTTCTGGTTTCAGCTGTATGTGTCTGACTATCTTAAGTATTCAGGTTTAGACCCTACAATATTATTTGTTATATGCATTACGAGACCATTTTGAATATTAAGTTCAAGTCCCTGTATATTATATATAAAATATGAATTTATCTGACTAGTGTAATAATTAAGGTTAAGATCTACAACATTGAATGTATAAGACCAGTTTAAATGTTAAGGTTAGGATCTTATATGTCATGTATAAAATAGAACTTTACCTGACTGAATTAAATAACAAGGCTAAGACCCTACAATGTTTTTATTATATTCATTTACCCAGTTGATTTATATATGTTTAATACCTTACAATGTTTTTTATTATATGGAGCACTTTGTTTACTGATCCAGCCCAATGCAAACCAACTGTGAGCAGCTCATTCAAACTTGCTGAATTCATTGCATGTAAGGTAATGTTTGATTTGAATCAGATACAGCTTCCAGTAACTGGGGCTTTGCAGCCATTTTGCCACAGTTTTGTTGACACTAATGTATTCTTCTACACTCAAACGGGAGCTTTAAGGAAATTCATGATGTTATCGCCGACAACTGAGCGAACACGAATAGTCTTCACAGCTTGTAATCACAGACTTAATCATATGATGTTTATCCTAAATGAAATGATGGACAACTAAGGGATTGTACCGTCGCTACAGTAGGAGGAGGACAGCTTTTCTACAGTACTGTGTAAAATTATCATGTTTTTTAATCAAAATTGCAAGAAAAGTAGACTAAGACATGAAGAAGAGTGCTCATTTAAGAACATATCCCAGGTATTAATGTTCTCCATTAATATCTCGCCACTAAGGGCTCTTTAACAAAGCAGCACTGGGGGCGAATTGCATTAATAATACAAATCACTGCACTCTAATTGAAGCCTTATTAGTCAATGATCACTGGTTGAAGCGTCTGAAGGGGGGAAACAGAAAGCAAAGCAACATATATCCTCAGAACAGTTGAGGCTGGAGGTCGACATAAAGCCTGTGCTAATGCTTCTTTTTTTTTTTTTTTTCCAGGCACAAATCCTGGAAATTGGAAGAGCAAACTTATCTGTTAATCCTCTAACAAAATAAAACCAATGTGAATGTCAATGTTCAAACAAACATCAAAGGAGTTAAAGGTCAGCGCAAAGTCAGCCGCTGATTTATTTGCAGTGAAGCCGCTGCCTGATTAAATAGATTACGGCGCTGATTCGGTTGTTCACTTTGGAGGAGAGTTTTATTCGTCCTGATCTGTGTATATTTGGTGATTTCCGTTGAGAAGAACATTCAGGTTGTTTTGTTTTTCTCCTCTTGTGTTGGCTGCGCTTTGCATAAAATGTTTGCGTGTGAGGAAATTTGTACATACTGAACGCTGGATCAGAGAAATGCCGTTTTTTTTTTCCCCATCTGTGCACATTATCCCAGTGTCATGACACTCGTCCTGCAGAGCTGAAACTCTCCAGAGTCGTACAGCATCTTACAGCGTCTTCCGCAAAGTTTAAAGTCAGTATAGATTTTCTAACAACGCTCGCCTCGGGCTGTGCTCCATTTTTAAGTCTACCAGGAGGGAAAGCCTGTATGTGGGCTGAGGTCGCTGAGAGACAGTTCAGGGGTTCTTGTTCAGCTGCACACGTCTGAAATACATTGTCTTGTGTTCAACAAGCGGAAGAAAGAGGCTTGTTCTTCTTGTGTAATCACACGTACAGTAGTCTGTCTAATGTACTGTAGTACTCATCCTCCCCTTGGAAGTTTTCCACTTTTATTCAACGCTGGATCACGGTCAATTAAATTTTTTTGACAAGAATTTACCAAAAAAGAAAAAGACTCTTTCATGTCAAAGTGAACCCACATTTCTACAAAGTAATCCCAATTAGTTAAAAATATATAATGTAAAATAATTGTATTCACCCTGTGTAAATGAGTATTCAGTAGATGCACCTTGAACTGCAATTACAGCGTTGAGCCTGTGTGAAGTTTTTACCTGATTCGTCTTTGCAAAAACTGCTCATGCTTCAAGGTCACACAAGGATGGTGAGCGAACAGCCCCTCTTCATGTCAAGTCAGAAATTCTCCATTGGATTGGCTTCTCTTGTAGACTGCATCAGGTTCTCCTCTGGGATTTCCACTACACTTTGCTGCATTCGTTTTACTTTTACAAGCCTTCTGGGGCCTGCTGCTGAGAAGCATCCCCACATCATGATGCTGCCACCGCCGTGCTTCACAGTGGGGATGGTGTGTTTGTCGAACATAGTGTAAGATTCGATTCATACTATTAACGATGTACATTGGTTCAGTATTAATAACTGTACAGCAGCTATATTGAGTTCTGTGATACGGTGATGCTGTAATGTGATTGGTGGGGAAAGGTCATGTGACTTGGGCATGGGAAGGAAGTGAATTGGGGAGAGTGTCAGTATTAGTAAAAGAGTCATTGATCTATCACCACGAACCCTCATGTTCCAATAGCATCTAGTTCGATGGCCAAAACGCTCAATCTTGCTTTCATCAGGCCAAAGAACCTTCTTTCAGTTGACTTCTCCCATATTCAACTACATTGTGGTGAACTGCTGTTAGGATTTAATGAGCTTTTTTCACTAGTGGGTTTGTTTTTGCCACTCTCCTATAAAGCTTTGGCTGGTGTCGAACAGGCAACAGTTGGTTTTAAATGTACAGTCTCTCTCAATTCCTGAAGCATGTTCAGAGGAGCCATTGGTGTCTTGGTGGCCTTGGATGGTCGTTCAGTTTTTTGAGGTTGACTTGCTCTCGGCAGATTTTGCATGTGCCATATCCTTCCATTTCCTTCTCCCTTATTTCACATTATATGCTTTCAATCAATTTACAGTTCTTTGTAGAAATCTATTTGCACTTTGGCTTCTTTTTTTCAAACTTAGATTGACCATAATTCAGTGTTGGAAAGCAGTAAAAGGGGGAAAATCCAACGGGGTGAATCCTGCTTACAGGCACTGCATTTTACTTGATGGTTTGTCCCATGAGCTGCAGCTGTCAGGTGGAAAAGACATATGCCACACCAGTGAAAAGATTTGTCAGAATCACAGAGAGTGACCTTCAGAGTCACCTTCTCTTCACACAGCTTTAAGAAGCTAAGTAAGTGTAAATCCTCAGCAGCCCTGTTAGAAGTTCCTGCCTGGCTCAGCTGGTTGAAACGGAACAAAGACTTCAGCCCTTCCAAGCTGCCACTGCTGAGCGGTTTGCTGTGTTAACTGATCTATCGACACCTCCGTCTGAGCAGGAGGAGGGGAAATTAAGATGTAGACAAATTTATCTGTTTTCCCAAAAAAAAGCACATTTTGCTTTACAGTTTTTTAACGGTTGCCATGGCATTTCCTGAATTTGCATTAAAACCTGGTATGTGTGCGTCTGTGCTGATGAAACCCGTCACTTACTGTGCATTTGCTCCCCGTAATAAATGATCATAGGCTGGATGCAAATGTTGATTTCTGACATCTTGTGCGTTTTGTGGGATGTAAATAAGAAGTACAGGGTTGCCATAGAGACACCAAGTTACCACAACTTTAGCTGTCTTTTGAGTCTGTATTTGCACACATTTTTGACCATTTGCACCATTAAAGGTTACGTGGACTTAGCTAACAGCAGTTTCTGTTGCCGCTGTTGTCTTGGATGTGCAGAAAACCTATATCGTGATGATTTTCAGGCAAGTTGTGGTGTTATTAGAGGCATCTTTTTCTGTGATTTGTAAGCAGATTTAACTAAACTCCACATTTGTTCCACATGATATCCTTGGGAAATGTAAGTCGAACTGAATCTAAAAATGCATGTAACATATCATTCATTTTTGACTGAGTTATACTCCAAGAAGCACAATCAAGTAATGGCAATTAGGGTTTTTATGAGGCCTACCTTCATGAGCTGCATGTTACCACCATGGGCTGTATATAAAGTAAAGCATCCACACCCCAAAGTGCATAACTTTAAGCCTTAAAACAATATAAATGGGTGACTTATATGAAAATTCACCTCCTGGACAGTTGTCACGACTGGGAAAATTAGCTGTAGAAACCAAAACCGCTTTTTGCACCACCCTGTAAACATGTTTGTTTTTGCAGTAAAGTTGGTCATTTTAACATGGGGGTCTATGGGGACTGACTCGCTTTTGGAGCCTCAAGTGGCCATTTGGGGAACTGCAGTTTTTCATAGAGGCTGCATTTGTTAGCTGTGGTATAAGCTGGCCTGATCAGTGGGTGGAACAACAGCTAACTTCACATTGTGTTTCGATATACACTGAACAGTTTTCCCCTTTCACCTCAGTAACATCTCATATCTCTCATGTCTGTTCTACTCTCCCAGTTTGTCAACCTTTGCTTTTAGAAGATGCTCTATATACTTCACACTGCTGCAAGAAGTGACCAAGAAAACAACCACACAAATAGAAGCATCGGGCTTCTGCTTTTGTCAATATTATCTATTGATTGAATGATGTCCAAATGGACTCCCTATTGTATTTGTACTAACTAGCTTTTACTAATGTTGGAGTTTATAGTTGTTTGTATGATTTTATCTCATTACTCTAATTAATTAAAAAGCTCTGGCACGTCAGTTTGCTTTTGTTTTTCAGCATGTATCAGTAGTCTTCGATCACTGACATCCACTTTACAAATTTATTTCAACTATCAGTTTCTAAACATATATCTTTAAGAGCCTGAAAGGATGCTGTCATTTCTCTAAACTAAACCCTCACTTTGCAGTGACACACTCAGTGCTCCGGCAGCCTGGTTAATGGTCTCCTGTCTTGCAGGGGCGTGGTGCGAGTGGACATTAATCTGCAGGATGTTGATATCGACCAGTGCTCCAGTGACGGCTGGTTTGCTGGAACCCATCGATGCAACCTGACCACTATGGAGGTGAGTGTGCCGAACATGTGGATTAGACAGAAGATTGATCTGCTCCGTAAAACTGAACTGTAATGTACACCCGTTCAGTCACATCTCCACGAGGCACTAAATGGAAAAGCAGTAAATCTGCATGCCTTGTGACAAATGGACGGTGATCTGATTCTCCCTCGATGACACCCTTAGAAGCAGCTTCCGCCAAACTAAACACTGGAGGCTATCTTTTACATTTCCCTGCATGAAAGTCTCTTTCTTTTCTACATTATGCTGTAATTTTGTTTGGCTTTTCTCCAAAGCAGAGCAATGTTCAGAGATGGTTAAACATACATCCACTACACAATAAGTTGCAACTGTTTTTAAAGGATATTTATCCTCATAAATTCATCCTTGGCTCCAGAGAAGAACGGCGTTTTCGTCACACACGAGGCTTCGTTAAAGGCTCCTCGCCTCAGTTATTACCTCTATCAAGGTTACGCTGTCATGAAATATGATGTGTTCCTCTGTTGACACTGAATGCACAGCTTTGCGTGAAACTAGAGACGGGCCGAGTCATTTTGCAGTCATTAGGCAACGGGCAGAGACACAGCATATCTTAAGGGGTCTATTTCCAGGGTCTATAAATCTATTTTTACTTCAGATTTAAGTGACGGAAATGGAGATGGAGCGTTAGAAACACGTTAAGCTGGCACAGGAAAAAAAAAAAAAAAAGCCTTGGCCATTTTTATACGGATGAAGAATAACCCGTCTCAAGGCCCTGGAACATGTGGCTCCTCTAAGCTCTCGGACAAGTAGATAAAACTCTCATATTTTAAGAGGATATTGGATATTCTCGATCTTTTTTTTAGAACTGTTATTCATCCTTATGTGTAACAACGCTCACTGCAATTGATAGCAATGAATTATCAAGTCATAATTTGTCATGTTTGCTGTTGTACGGCTGTATTCTCTTATATAAATTATTCTTTTGTCACTTGTAAACAGTGGAAACTTCCATGTAAACTTAATATTAGTTTGGCGTCCGTCTTGGTTTGCATTTTTCTTCTCCTTTTCTACTAATCCCAACTCCCCTTTGCCACAGAAAACAACAAAACTTTCTTCTTGTTTCTTTGAATTATCCATTTTAATAACAGTGCAAAACAATTCCCTCTGATGCTGCATCCTGGGCTTGATACTGCCCATGAGGACCGTGATTAGTTTAAAGAAATATAAATAAGACAGGCTTTTTTTTTTCATAGCACAATGATAATGAGCTGCATCCAGACTGTTGTGGAGACAGGTCTGGCTAACTTAATATAACCAAAATTGTTAGTGAGCAGCTGCCTATGCACACAGCAGCAATAATCATTAACTTGGGGTCATGTTTCTGGTCAAATATTCACTTTCCTTAGCCTGTGCTGGTCTCCACCAGCTCCCGAGGGAAATATTTGGCTCTTTAGCTTCTAATTGCTCCACCGGCTAGTTGTCTGTCTGCAGTTTGGTGCCGTGGCAGGTGTATGTTTTTTGTCGCTTTCTCACTAAAGACAAGTAATAGAGATGCAGAAAACATGCCACAGGTCTGTGTTTTTTAGATGATCCATTGTTAATGCAAAAACACTGATTGTAATGTAACCTCTGAAAATATTAGTGTATCTTAGACAGAATATCTTGCAAAAGTTTAATATTTTTAGTTTTCAGCTATTGAAGACAGTGAAAATGTATTCTAGACTGATTACACGTAAAGGAAAATGTTACAAACCTTTTGTTTTTGCTTTAATTTTGGCTCATAGCTCATTAAAATCAGAAATTCAGTATCTTGAACAATGAGAATATCAGTGAAAAGTTTATAATTTGCCATCAGTTCTTTAGGAAATTGAACATTTTATATATTCTAGACTCATCACATGCAAAGGAAATGTTTAAAGCATTTTTTTCTGTGTTAATTTTGATGATTGTGGCGTATCGCTCATGAAAATCTGAAATCGAGTAACTCAAATTATTAGATTATTTCCAGGCCAATCTAAAAAAAGGACCAATATCATTATGTCAAACTTCTGAAAAGTATGTAGAATGCATGCATGAACTTCATGAATTAAATTATGACAAAAAGGAACTTTTTTTTTTTTTTTTCCTTTTTTGCAGTTACCGGAATACAAAATGTCACATTGCACACGAAACTTATCTTTTTTTTTTTTTTTTTTACCATATTCTAATTATTTGAGATGCACTACTATGTGTGTTTCTAATCAGTATAAAACTAATCTTTCTTGCTTGTTTCAGAAGTTTAGCCTAACATTTAATAGCACGCAAGTTATTCTTACTTTCTTAGCTTAGTGGTCGAGTCTCTCCGACGCTTCTTTACCTGCCGTTTCGGTCTCATCGTTCAGAGCGATAGATTTTGAAGACGTGCTGTAGATCAGACTGCTTCATAATGCATGTGATGTAATGGATTGCAGTGAGCCTCTCTGAATAATTAATCGCTCTCTTTGTCTGAGTACTTCCACCTCTCCGTGGACAGTCAATGCTCGAGACATTTGACATAGTGAATGTGTGTGTGTGTGTGTGTGTGTGTGCGACTGGGAAGAGAGAAATACGTTGTTAATGGTATGGATTTTTAGCTGGGTTTGCAAAATAATGATCTCTGTGTGCTTACAGAGCAGGGAGTGTGTCAGGAGTGTGCTTGCTTACAGCTGAATGATGAAGGCTGGCATGTTGCAGGAGGTGTCCTGTCTTGCAATGACAGCTTTATCATGCACAAGTGCTCATTATCGTCACACCTGCTGGATAAACAACGCTGACAGGGAGACGCGTGCGCCGAAACAAGAGCTGCGGTGATTTCGGCCGTCTCATTATTTCTGCAAAGTTTGCATTCGGAAATGACACTGTGCAAATACAAATTACAGCAAGTCGCCTTCGTATCTGCTCCGGCTAACAACCTGCCTTCTCGGCCCCTAAAGAGCACGACCAGGTAAATCGGAGGTGATGTGGGAGGCGGATGTCTCTGCAGCTATGAATAGAAAGCACGACTGCAGTGTAATCAAGTCTTGTAGGTCTGCGTGTGTGCTAATGTGATAAAAGCAGCACGAGGAGGGATGCCCCCTTATTTGCAAACGGGCATTCATTTTGTTTTATCGACGTTTCTTTTACCGTGCAGGTATTCCCTCTGCACGTGCAGCAATTTGTAGTTTCATGGATTTCTTTGGGGCCATTTAAATATCCACGTTGGGTGTGTTTTCTTTGCCTTATTGGAAGTGAAGCCATTCGTTTTGTCAAATGATGGAGCGATTTATTTGCTTAAGCGTTACGTATTCAGTCTCTTTCTAACGCAGCATCGCCACGACTTCGACTCTGATTTTCACGCGCCATCATCCGACGACTTCCATTTCCTCACATGTCCGCTTGTTGTTCGTTTTCATCTTAGCAGCGCTTTAAGTGCCACCATTCCAGCAATTGAATTTGACAAAATGCAGTTGTTTCCAGCCAGCCGCCCCGGTCGGCTTCCTGGCCTCCCCTCGCATCCTGCTTCTCAAGCTGCTGTTTGCCCAGCCAAGCGTGCAGGCAGCCCAAACTCAGATGGAGGCAGATGCCATGGATGACTGATCCAACAGGCAGGCAGACGAGCGCCGAACAAGATGATGCTCGGACTATTGACAAGAAAAGCCCAGTAAACCAGCAGCGTCAGAACACCTATGGTTATTTAAAGGCGATGCTATTTTAAAATCAAACCATTTTTTGACAGCCTTCTTTGATTCTTTCCTCACGAATCCTTTCCTCCTTACTTTGTTTTTTTATTTTTAAAATTTTTTTTACATAGGCAGACTTTAACATTTCAGTCTTTTGTGTCATTTTTAAAAAAAAATAATCGAGCACCTGCTGTCTTTCTCCTTTATAAAAAATGGAAATATATTCAGCCAGTGCTGTAAAATGATTTCTTTGCAGTTCCAAGAATGGAAACAAAAACCTTGAAAACAGACATGCTGCTAAAATTAAACTCAAGGTAAAATCAAGTAAAATGACACCTGACTTGGCAAAAATTGAGTTAAATATTCTTAATTCACTGGTAGAATTATTCATTTATTTTTTAAAAAGATGAAGGTTAAAATGGATAAAAGTGACGACAACATGCTCCAGCGTGAATAACTAAACGTAACCATGGCAACGGACATAAATATATGATCCATGCTGATGTAAATCAGTTGCAAAGAGGCACTATATATATATATATATATATATCTATATATCAACATCTATTTGTGGAAGCGTGCATGTCAAGACGCTGCTGTCAAAAACAATATATTGCAATCAATTTTATGGCAGACCGCGACCAGTCACTGCATTTATTTAGCCAAGAGCAATCTGACTTATACCAATTACAGTGAAACTACATGAATCACGCCCAAAGATGATCAACCACGATGCCGACTTATTTCCTGTTGAGAAGGTGTACACATGCAGCTCCAGGTGGACGTTTTCTTCTTCTCGCCACCTCTCGTCTCTCTCTAATGGCACTTCCATTAGTGGCCGTTCTTCTAAAGTCCAGGACTTTGCCGCCCTGAGGGCACCTTTCATACGAGAACGTCGGTTGTGGATGATGATGAATGTTTCAATCAATTAGCTTATTGCTCAGAACAAGTGGTGGGGCCCTGGGGGACTGTAGCCCGTGAAAGGCAGTGACACATAACCTGAATGATTATTTCAGCCGGCACGAACAGGACTCCTGACTCGGCGTTGTTTTTTCCGGTCGAGGGCTGCAGACTGAGAAGGGCCTGCCGGTTTTATTTACTGAGAAAAACATATGAAAATATCTTTTGCCCAAGAAAGAATTGTGCATTTAGAGAACTGATAGTTTTAAATGTTTGTTGTGATCTGTGAAGATTTAAACGTCTCGCCGTTATGACAGGTGAGTCATCTGGAATTTGAGTTTCAAACCAAAGAAAGGATGATTTTTTTATTATTTTTTTTAATGTCAGTTACAGTAAACGGTGAAAAGTCTGATCTGTTTTTAGCCTCTTTAGCAGCGTGGCTCTAGAGATGGT